TCTCTCTCACTCTCACTCTCTCACACACTCTCTCTCTCTCTCACTCTCACTCTCACACACACGTCACTCTCCTGTCCTGGATTAATGATAACGGATAAAAAGGGTGAATCTCATGAAGAAATGACTCATATTTCAGCCCAAAATAAATTAAAAAGAATTGTTGTTGAGTGAATAACATTCTGTGCATTAAAGTATAATTTAGGGGGAAATGATGCAAAAATGTATTACGTATATGAATATACATAATTACCTAAAATTATGTATTAAATTAAATTTTTAAAGGGGTCATATATATATATATATATATACACACACACACATTTAATAATTAGAAATTTAAATGATAGAAATTTGAATTACTACCATAAAGTATACTTGCATTTATCTTTTTAGTAATAATAATATTGTTATTCATATTTAATCATTATAATTTTATATATATATATATATATATATAAATAATTATCATTTTAATTATAAATCGAAATTATAAGTACTACCGTAATGTACAGTACCTTTATACTTTTAAATACATAATTTGAGGGAAAAGCATTTAACTGTTGTGAAAATATGATGCCAAAAAATCATAATGGTCCTACATCAGGCTACATGCTCTTTATGTAAAATAGAATTGAAAATATTCTACAAATATAACTTTAATTTTTTTCCATGATTATAATTTTTTTTTCTCCATTTTACACTGAAATATGACCTGGACGAGTTGACTGTTTTCATGAGACGCCTGTTGTGCTCTTATCAAGCGTGGTCTTCTTTTGCTTGTTGGTCATGTCCGTATGCGCGCCGGCTTCCACGAGGCTGATGATGATGGCGTGGAGGGTCAAGAAGTCGCTGATGGGACGGTTGTACTGTACGATGAGGTGTAAAGGGCTGTTTCCTTCATGATCCACGGCGTTTACCTGGGCGCCGCAGTCGATGAGCAGCTTGGTCACTTGCGCGTTAGGAAAGCTGCAAACGTCGTTGGTGTGGAAGTCGTCTACTGGCGTACTAGAGCTAGCCGCTAGGTGCAAAAGCGACGACCCCTCTCGGGATCGCGGATCAAGGCGTATTAAGTCGTAGATCTGTTTGTTTATACGCGCTCGCTCCTCTTCGCCGCACTGCGTTTTCGAAGAGATGCAAACCAGGTAGAGGAAGGTGAACACGTTGGATTCGTAGCTGTCGTTGGCCGCCGGCAACTCCGCATCGGTGGCGGATCGCACTCGCGGCAAGCTGCGGCGGATTTCCAGGACGCTGGCGCGCAAAACGTGTTCAACGTCCGATGCGCGGACCGGCTCCTTCAGGTGGACCATTTGCGAGAACACTTGCGCAAATCTCAAGAGGTCTTTATGCGTGTTGCGGTTTCCTTGTTGGCGTAGATGCAAGGCGTGCAGCCAGAGTTTGATGCACTGTTCGAACTCCATGTTGTCGGCGTAGACCGCGCCGCGATATATTATGGGATGCGACACGTCGATATTATCCGCACCCAGAATTCGTTCGCGAATCATCAGGCCTTCCATGTGTAGGGCATCCCGGTCGTGTCGAACGGCCTCTAAGTCTTGCAAAGTCCGGCACTCTGCCCTCGCTCCGTAAGCCACAACAGGAGACGGCAACTCTTTGGCGATGACCCTCTCTGGATCGCGAAATCGCTCCAGCATGGCGAGGTACAAGTAGTGGTAGGTCTTAAGAATGTCGTAATTCTCACGGTCATTGGCGAAAGATGCCCCAAGTAGTTCCAACGCTTCGATACGGCTATGCACGTCGCAATCCGCATGCGACAGCAGCAGCTCTACGACGTCCGCTTTGCAGCTCTCGGCTGCCACTTTCAGTGGCGTCATGCCATGTCCGTTAACCACCATCGCCGCTTGGCATCGTACCAACTCCTTCACGATATCCAGATGCCCGGCTTCTGCGGCGAAGTGCAGCGCGGTGGCCCCACAGTGAGCTTTGGAGTTGGGATCCGCGCCCCGCTCCAGCAGGAAGAAAACAACGTCGGTGTGGCCCTTGTAGGCAGCGATCATCAAACAAGTGTTGTCGTACTTATTAGCGATGCTGATGTCGGCCTTGTGCTCCACGAGATACCGTACGATGTCCAGCCGGCCATCGAAGCAGGCAGCCCTGAGGGGGGTGGAGTTTGTGAGGGTGGTGTGATTCACGTTAGCGCTGTGCGAAACCAGCAAACGTACCACCTCAAAATGCCCAGCACCAGATGCACACCAAAGAGCCGTGGCGCCATCAATAATATACCTGTAAGAGCGAAACATACGTCAGTAGGGCTGTCAAAATGGCTGAAAAACTAAATTCGAATTTTTTTACCTTGGCGCCGAGTTCTCAATCATAGTGTGAATCATGAAGATTACTGGCTCATTCTCCTTCATCTAGTACGTGAGGAGGAGGAGGAGGAGGAGGAGTAACAGCCGTTATCAAAGCACTGTGTGTTTTTACAGCTTCTGACCCTCACAAATATCACATGTCTGCTACTCATGCGTTTTTCTTGTTAACTAGTCCAGAATAATGATTGTGTGCACTTCAGTAATGCAATACAATGTAAAAAGACAATAAATGGTTCCTGTCTAAGAAAGTGAAGAACATTTGCTGGATAATGTTATTCTGAGTTGACCTTTTCAAAAAGATAGATCATTGGAGGAAAAAGCAGAATCCTACCTGAGCTTAAAACATCTAAATGTCCACTATGATATGTTTAATCTGAGATACAGTTCACTGGGATGTAGGGCTGTCAAAATGGTTGAAAATAAACGTAAATATTATCAAAAATTTGAATTATATTAGAATTTAAAACGTATAATTTGAGTTAGGGTGAAGAAAAGCTTTTGGCTTCTCTTCTGAGGCCACAAGAGGGCGCATCGAGCAAAATATTACTAATGCACATTTATTTAAAGCATAAGATAACATATCTGTGAAAAAAAGTGCATGCATAATGTTTAAAATAATGTTAATAAACCAATTATTATTAAGTTGCTTAAACAACTATAAACAAAACAGCATCATGTATGTATGCATAGTTTAATACAAAGGCCGGAAAGCTAATCACACGGAGTACATTTTTCATTTAAAAACACACGTTGCAGTTGGATGGGGAAAAAAAGCGCCATAAAGTCTCGAGATATGTTTTTTCAAAGTTGCACTTACATTAATTTTACATGGCTTTCTAAACATGCCGCTCTTTTGTGCGAGACGGGAGTGCAACTGTGATAGATGTCCCTCTAGAAAATGCGCAAAATATGCGTTCTGTGTGAACGGCTTGGTTTCAGTTTTGACATAAATAAGATCTTCTCCACATCGATGTTCTCTTTTCCCGCAATATTTGTAATTAACAACGCAGCAGCGCCGCATCTAGTGGCTTCAACTGGACAGGCTAACAAAAACATTAAAATGCAACGACACTTACATCGTCATCGCATCTCGTGCGCCGCTGATAATACTGCCTGATGCACACCTACAATTCGAATGCAATGTTTTTGCATTCGAATGTGGATTTTTATTTCAAATTCGACGAATATTCAAAATTATAATTTTTTTTTTGACAGCCCTACATGTCAGCAATGGCATTACGAAACATAGAGCTCTTTTCGGAATAGTTACGCAATAAGGACATTTCTGTCTGCATTTACTCGCGTCTCTCACGTTATTCCAAATGTAACATTTTTACTGGTCACACGCACAACCACACTGTAGAAAAAAATAATTCAAAGTTGCAAAAAAAAAAAAACAAGATTAGTACGCTTTACGAAAAAATGCTAATATAAAAAAATGCATGTATTACTCAATATGTTACTTACAGTTTCTTTGTAATTAATTGGGAAATTTACTAGCAATTTCTGAGTGAAAATTGTTTCTACACCATAATTAAATAATACAGTTGTTTCTAACAAAGTAAAACAGAAATAACATCTGCAAGGTTTACATGATGAATCATAAATTTATTGACATAGGTGTCAAAAAGGAATTTAGCCTACTACATAATTCACTAGAATGCTCAAACCTGTCTTCACACGCTATATTTGAATATACTCAAGCATGAATGAACATTTTCAATGGATAATGACTTAAATGTAGGTCTGTTCCTCACACAAAGCCTTAGATAGCACACGTCTGCAAGATGTCTGTTAAAGATCTCTTCATCTGGAAAGCATCTGCTGTGTACAAACATCTGACAGACGTCTTTAAAGATGTCCGTTTTCAATCATAAACATCTTAAAGACATTTTCTAAACGTCTATTTGACATCTGGATCATAGGAAACGTCCTATAGACATATTGCAGATGAACAAATGTGAGCCTGGAGCACAAAAGCAGTCTTAAGTCGCTGGGGGATATTTGTAGCAATAGCCAACAATACATTGTATGGGCCAAAATTATAAATTTTTCTTTTATGCCAAAAATCATTAGGATATTAAGTAAAGATCATGTTCCATGCAGATATTTAGTAAATTTCCTACCGTAAATATATCAAAACTTAATTTTTGATTAGTAATATGCATTGCTAAGAACTTCATTTGGACAACTTTAAAGATGATTTTCTCAATATTTAGATTTTTTTGCACCCTCAGATTCCAGATTTTGTATCTCGGCCAAATATTGTCCTATCCTAACAAACCATACACCAATGGAAATATTATTTATTCAGCTTTCAGCTGATGCATAACTCTCAATTTTGAAAAATTGAGACTGGTTTTGTGCTCCAGGGTCACAAATGCTCTAAAAAAATACATCTTGCAGACGTCAAATAGACGTCTCCGTGATGTACGTGTGCTATCAGGTAGAAGATGTCTTTAAGATGTTTATGATTGAAAACTGACATCTTAAAGACGTCTGTCAGATGTTTGTACACAGCAGATGAAGTGATCTTTCACAGACATCTGGCAGATGTACCTGTGCTATCTGGGATACTTGGATGCATGTGAAAAACAAACAACGCACCCATCAAACCGGACAGTCCCGGTCTGTTCAGTGTCCACCTTGTAATGGTCCAGAAGCAGCCGGACCACCTTGTCGTGTCCGTTCCGAGCAGCAATAATGAGCGGTGTGGACCTCTGTCCCGCCTCCTGGGTCACATACTCCAGCAGGTATCGGGTCTGGACGCCGGAGTGGTTCAGAAGAAGGGCGGCCAGGGTCAGGACTCGCCCCTCGCTGGCCGCTTTGTGAACATACCGGGCCAGGGACTCCAACCGGGCCAGAGCCGGTACCTCCGCCATCTGTGCAAGATTCGCCCGCTGATCTCAGAGCAGATCAAGCCGCCTCCCATTAAAACCCCCTGCCTGAGCTCTACAGCTCATCTATGGAGCACATGGAGAGTTTCTGCCGGACCAACTGCCATTATAGCTGATCTCTATTATGAAACGCTGGGTTATTAATATGAGCTACTAATAAGGGAAAACAATATATATTGTAAGTGAAATAATAATAATCCTACACTTCTAGTGTTTAAATATGAACTATGTAATCCTGACGTAATCTGTTCGATTCAATGAGTCTCAGTCGGAATTCTCTTTCACTTCTAAACCAAACGAGTTTACTCGCACCTTTCCTTCACTTTTACGCTTCGGTGTGTTCTGGTTTCTGATCCGCGATGACGCCCGCCGATCGCTTCAGCAGAACGAATCCGGATTTCGCCGATATTTAATCCGAATTAACGCTTGAATCTGCGCTGAATGTGTCGGTGTCTTTCACCTCTGCCAGTAACGACGACCGGAAATGAAGTCGGCAATAACAGGAAGTGCGACACTGAGATTCCTGGACTGCCTTTTCGAAATAAAAGTCCCATAAAATATAACGCAATAATTAAAAATAAAATATGACAGAGGAAACCCGTATTCTCCATATATGATATAATATAATATAATATAATATAATACGTGTTTGTTTAGATGTCCTCCACAATGTCAGAAGCCTGGATCTGTTACCAAAAAAAAATAAAAATTGTGATCTGAAAATATTTATACATCACTGTAAAGTAGATAATATCTGTATAAAATAATAAGAAAATGTAAAAAAACAATCTTTTTAATTGTAATTCTGACAACAATAAAAGTCCCATAAAATAATATAAAAATCCCAATAATGAATCCCAATAAAATAAAATACCAGGGTAACCATAGTTTTCATATAATATAATATGATACATAATTTTATAATATTTAATAAGAAATATAAATATATCTAATTATTAAATGTGTGTGTGTGTGTGTGTGTGTGAGAGTGAGTGAGAGTGTGTGTGTGTG